TATATCATAATATATATTCTAAAAATGTAAAATGACAAGGCCTTGTTTACATATTACCACAAGAAGCCATCTGTTATTTACTCCTTTTTTCCCCAAAGCACTTTACAGAGAACACTGAATCATTCACGTCAGCCCCTTTCATACACAGGCACTTTATACTTGGTGCAAATCAATCCTAACCTAACCAGAGAGCCACCACTTTGCCTATAAGGAATGTGGGTAGAACCAGAACACCTGGGGGAAACCCACTCAGACCTAAGCATACAAACTCCATGGAGTATTATACTTGGTGCAAATCAATCCTAACCTAACCAGAGAGCCACCACGTTGCCTACATGGATCGTGGGTAGAACCAGAACACCTGGGGGAAAGCCACTTGGACCTAGAGAGAGCATACATAGCCACCATATTGCTTTCATTGTAAAGAAATTCACAACAATATAATGTCCAGCACAAAAGCTAATAATACAAATAAAAAGTATTGTAAAGTACAAATCTATAGCAGTCCTTCACTCCTGTACTATCCAGTTACAGCATCACAAATACCAAAGCTAAGTGTCATATGTGGAGGCTGCACAGGGAGCGGGAGATTGATTGGCTCTAGAAAAGGTCAGTGATTTAACTATGATGTAACTAGTAACCATGAGAACTTTAGCTGCCTCTTGTTGCTTTTTAGGGGCTTGTAGTACAAAAATGTAAGAAACTTTATTCATCTACTTGTAGTAAAATGCAGTGCACAGCCGCTACAATATAGACTAGTTGTACATCTTTACAGGTGCCTACTATTGTAGCGATGAAGCTCTGCTATAATGTTGAACACATTGAGGTGTTAGGTTCTTGTATCTCCAGTAGACTCATGCACAGATCTATTTTGTTTCTACGGTATGTTGAGGTAAGCCTTTGAGTACTGTAGTCCCAGATCTGTAGCAGTATCATTTTTCTGTGACTTCTTCCTGCTGACGTGTTGACCTCATGTGATCTTTTTCCTCTGATCCCAGGCCAGAGACTTGCCGTTGAACGAGCTGGGAATACAGTCCGCCTTCCTCCATCAGCTCTTTGTGACTCCCTTGCTGAACCACGGTGCCTTTGTCTAAAACAATGATATTGTGTGCTTTCTCCACAGTGCTCAGTCTGTGTGCTATAATTAGCACTGTGCGACCCTGCAGATCATTATTCATTGCTTGCTGGATCTGTGAAGAGTGAATCATCAACAGGTTTTTAGTTTTTTACATTTGTCATTCACATGTATGAAACTCCACCACTTCTCATGTTTATTCAGTATTAGCAATGCTGGGAATAGAACTCACAGAAAGTCACAGTTAAAAACTATGAACATGAAGCAATGAAAAACATCTATCTATCTATCTATCTATCTATCTATCTATCTATCTATGCTTCTATCACTCTATTATCTATCTATCTATCTATCTATCTATCTATCTATCTATCCATTATCTATCTATCAGTCTATTATATATCTAGCTGTCTATTAAGCTATCTACTGTATCTATCAGTCTATTATCTATCTATCAGTCTATTATCTATCTAGCTGTCTATTAAGCTATCTAATTATCCATCTATCTATCTATCTATCTATCTATCTATCTATCTATCCATCCATTATCTATCTAGCTGTCTATTATCTATCTAGCTGTCTATTAAGCTATCTAACTATCCATGGACCACGTTCATAGTTGTCAGAACGGATTAACCTGATTTACATTGAACCCTATGGGAAAATGTGATTCGGTTCACAACCAATTCGTTCGCGACCAGAATCGTGGAACCAATTAAGTTCGTGAAACGAGGTACCACTGTATTGCATCTATCATCTCCATTTTTGGACAAAGTATTACATGTGAAAAGAGACCAAATGTGGATTATACAAACTTGCAACTTACAGCATGCTCACTCTCTGTATCCAGAGCACTAGTGGCTTCATCCAGTATCAGAACTCTAGGATTCCGGATCAAGGATCTGGCAATAGCCACTCTCTGCTTCTGCCCCCCAGAAAGCTGTGCACCCTTTTCTCCAGTTTCTGATGGTAGGAAGGGAAACATAGCAAAATTAGAATGTAGGGTTTTCAAAATGTTTACTATCTATTGTATAGAAAGTGCTGTTCAACCTGATGGCAGCAATGTCTCCAACTACATTCTGTAATATGAAATACACTATATTGCCAAAAGTATTGGGATGCCTGCCTTTACATGCTGAGGTCAGGTACTGATGTTGGACGAGAAGGCTGGCTTGCAGTCTCCGCTCTAATTCATGCCAAAGGTGTTCTATCGGGTTGAGGTCAGGACTCTGTGCAGACCAGTCAAGTTCCTCCACCCCAAACTCCCTCATCCATGTCTTTATGGACCTTGCTTTTGTGGACTGGTGCTCAGTCATGTTGTAACAGGAAGGGGCCATCCCCAAACTGTTCCCACAAAGTTGGGAGCATGAAATTGTCCAAAATGTCTTGGTATGCGGATGCCTTAAAAGTTCCCTTGACTGGAACTAAGGGGCCAAGCCCAACCCCTGAAAAACAACCCCACACCATAATCCCCCCCCCACCAAACTTTACACTTGGCACAATGCAGTCAGGCAAGTACCATTCACCTGGCAACCGCCAAACCCAGACACGTCCATCGAATTGCCAGACAGAGAAGCGTGATTTGTCACTCCAGAGATCACGTCTCCACTTCTCTAGAGTCCAGTGGCGGCGTGCTTTACACCACTGCATCCGACGCTTTGCATTGCACTTGGTGATGTAAGGCTTGGATGCAGCTGCTCGGCCATGGAAACCCATTCCATGAAGTTCTCTACGCACTGTTGTTGTGCCAATCTGAAGGCCACACGAAGTTTGGAGGTCTGTAGCTATTGACTCTGCAGACAGTTGGCGACTTCTGCGCTCTGTACGCATCAGCATGCGCTGACCCAGCTCTGTCATTTTACGTGGCCTACCACTTCGTGGCTGGGTTGCTGTTGTTCCCAGTTGCTTCCACTTTTTTATAATACCACTAACAGGTGACTGGGGAATATTTAGTAGTAAGGAAATTTCACGGAACACCTGAATCCAATGATTTGGAGGGGTGTCCCAATACTTTTGGCAATATAGTGTTATTTTACACTGTGTGCTACAAGCAAACTAAGTGTAGATAATTCACACTGTTCCAAGAAACCACAAAAATTGTAGTGTTGGGGTTTTAACGAGGCATCAGACTTTTTAACAAATTCATACAAATGTATTACATGGCATAAAAATTCCATAATTTAACATTAAAAACATACATGATTGTTGGATTCCTTCATTCTTGCCTCATTATCACATTAAACATAATGTACATATATTGATAACCCAATTGTATAATACAGCTTAGCTTTACTTATTTTATCCATGTGTAGTGATATAATGATCCATAATTGTCCAAAGAAACAAGGATACAAATCCAGCTTCCCTCAAAATTCATGCAGCTGAGCCACAGGTGCACATAACCAGCCCGGAATCCTGATATCCAGTACTCATCCACTGTCCCCTCCTAGTGTTCTTCCAAGTCTCGTCCTGCTACACACCCTCGTTTGCCTCCTATAGCTCCTCGAACAGTGTGAATTAATAGGGGTGAGGTCTCAAACCACCTGGTGCTTGTGGCTCTGGGTAGTGTTATTTGTATATAAAAGTGTATATAAACCAAGCTTGTAACTTCATAAACTATTGTCCCTTTGTTATTGTCAATTCTCCTTAATCCTTTATTTGTATCTCTTTATGTGACAGAATCCACAATACCTGTGGCATATCCATCCTGAAGTTCCGTGATAAAGCCATGGGCATTGGCTCTTTTGGCTGAACCAATAACAAGCTCCAGGGGCACAGTACTCAATCCATATGAAATATTACTCTCAATGGAACGGGCAAATAGCACAGGCTCTTGGCTCACCATTGATACCTACCCAAAAAAAAACAAAAAACAGGACAGTGAAAGCAGGCGGTCATAACATAGAGGCGTATATGTACAGCAATAATCTGCTATAACTCATTGCAACCATTCACTGTCACTTTGCCCATTCAGGTCTCTATTGATAAGTCACCCTTCTAGGTAAATATACTCACCCATCTGTGTTACATAGTTGGTAAGGTTGAATAAAGACACAGGTCCCTCACCATTTCCCCACTGCAGGATTCCACGTTGTGCAAGCTCCGGTGTTGGATGCTTTTAAAGCCTATTTAGTTTGAACGGGGAAATGAAGTCACAAATCAAAAAGCCTGTAGGCTTAAGCTGCCCATGCACTGTGCAAAATTCGGCTGGTTTTTGATGAACCAGACAAAAATTTGCACAGCGGGTGCCCCTGTCGACACCCTTCTGTCCAGCATCCTTCAATCAGAAATTTGAGCCGAATGAGCTAGATGGAAAATTCTTTGGGCAAACAGCGATGGCACTGTTTGAGTATTCTGACAGCGACACACCGCCGCTGTCAGAATACACAGTGGACACAGCCAGAGATTCCTCCATCCATCCTGTTTAGCGTGGATGGAGAAATCTGTTATATTTTTTTTTTTTCAAAGAAAAAATATAACAGTTTATGACCAACTTTAGATTGTGAGTATAGGGATTCAGTAATGCCCTGTGACTCATTTCTATATTTGGAACTACACAAATAAGCATCATTTGAGTAAGTGCACATGTACATGCTAACTGCTTAAGCTATTATTTACCATGGCACTGTGGGTTGTGAATCTTGCTGCTGTATAGCAAAACCCACCAACCACAAGATGTGCAGACAGTGCAATGAAAACTCTTTTTCACATAAAACACTGGCAGTCGGAAAGTTTTAGCACTCTAGAGACCACCAGAATACTACAATCTTAAATACAGGAGTTTGCTGGAGAAAAAAACAAATGTCTTTGTAGATAACAGTATGCAATCATTTCAACCTTCATTTTTCTCTTGGCCAAGACAAAAGCACATCCACTTTTTGTCTTTCTTCAGTCATAGGAAACAGGGTTTTGGGCCTCTTTATAAAACCGGGGGGAAAGGCGATGGGGAACAATTGTGCAACCAATCAAATCCCTACTTTTATTTCTCAAAGAATACAAGAAAGAAGATACCTGGCTGGTCACTGTAGATAGGTGGGGGTTGCTCATGCAGCACACCAATGCATGTCGGCATTTTTTCGCACACCTGCGTTGCGGTGTGAAGGGGGCACATAGAAAACATTTCTTTAGTTATATTAATTATATTAGAAGAGAAGATAGGAGAAATGTATAAGAGTTGCCATTGCTGAGCTATGTTTTAAATGTTATACATATTAGCATGACTGGCTGACATAAGCTGATATCATTTGCCCAGTTCCTATATGTGCTTGCTAAAACCAACTATCAGCTCGATAAGTGGGGGTCAGAGATTATAAACACAGTGGAGGCTGGGTGGTGAATTGGTGGATTTCTTGACAGCAGAGGTATTAGGTGAATATAATACCTTTTTTTAGATTAGATATTTAGATAAATATTTACATATTTTCTTATTGTAAGTGCATGTAACCTTTAAAAAGATCACACACTCTTTTTGCTAAATAGGTAATAGTAACTACTTACATGTTTTAAAGCCATCATTCTTATTCAAAGTTATGTACTGTACGTATGTTTGAAGCACATGGATCATGCATCTATGATTGGGGACATTAAATATTGATTGATTCATTGATTAATTATTGATGCTTTTTGTCACATACCTTTGCATGCAGGTATTTATGGTCATACATTGTGGTGGGATAACCATCCAGGAGTACTTCTCCTTCCTGCACAGGATAAAAGTTCTCTAGGATATTCACACAGGAGCTCTTCCCACTTCCTGATGGTCCCACTAGTGCGGTGACTTTCCCAGGATACAGTGTAAAAGACATATTCTAAAGAACAGGAAAACATCACATATGGCAATCACTTTTTTCTCCGTTTTTCTCTTTTAATGGATAGGCACCTATCGTTTCTGTTACACTTGTGCTCATCATTTCACACAGGTTATGTATTGCATAGGGGTCTATTTATCAAAGTTTTCACCCATGAATTACAGCATTTCCACTCAAGATTCAATTTGGAAAATGTGTAAATATTGAATAAGAGTTGTATAAATCTTGGGTGAAAACAGTGATAAATAGACTGATTCCACTCGTAGATGAGGTAAATGGCAACAAGAGGTTAAATCATTTAGAAGCATTGAGTATAATCACCTGGGCAGTGCCATGTGCACTCACCCTAAATTGACTGAACATAGGCCTTTTCATGTTCCATAAATCCTGGGATAATAACTCTATTTCCAGTCAAATCTCCTGACAGTGAGAGCTTATCTGGGTAATGTTACATGATTATGTTTTCATACCAGCAGGGACTTTCTAAACTGTAATTTTTAGAATGTTCAGCACCTCTTTTGCTGTTTGTTTATATATATATATATATATAATG